ACACACACACACACACACACACACACACACACACACACACACACACACACACACACACACACACACACACAACACACACACACACACACACACACACACACACACACACATACACACACACACACGCACGCATGCACGCACGCACACACATACTGAAGGTTATGCTGCCTCCACAGCTGCTGTCAGCTGTCACATGGCTGTCAGCAGCTCTTGCTGACGAATACATACACAGCCTCTCTCTCACACACACAGACACACATTCTTTCTCACGACTCTGTTTATCCTGCATCACTCTCTGCCCCTTCACCTCTTTATATATCTCCTCCACACACTAATGAATACACACACACACGAACTGCTACTGAATAAAGCATATCAAAGTTACCGTATATAATAACCCTGTAGAAGTTCCACGTTCCACTGGTCTGCAGTGAGTTATGTCATATGAAACCCTCAGACTGGCGGTTGAAGCACATGCCATATGCAGCAATATCAACAAGGGGACCAAGTGAGCAGTGTGTCAGTGCAGCTCATTGAGTGTATATAAACATTGACACACATACCATACCAAAAATGTGCTCTAAAATAATTATTTACACTTGAGCATAATCCTATGATGAAGGATACTTTATACCCTCAGAACAACACTGGTGGAGTCTAATTGTGGTCGATTGAATTATGGCAAGGGAAATGTATATGACATTTATAGAACTTATTTGGAGTTAAGTTTAAAAATAAAAAAATATTATAGGATGCTAATTATTTGTTATTTAGCTACCATTCTCAGTAAAAACTGAAAAGTTTACTTTAATTCAATGTATGTCAACAAAGACCTTCTTGAAAGAGATAATATTGAGTTGTCCCTATTTAAACTTACCGGTAATATTATTGCTAGTAGTGAATTCTGTTGGAATACATTTAATTAAAGTCAACGTTTCAGCTTTTGCAGTATAAGAATCCAACAATTAACAAGAGGGAGTGAAGAGATTCTCTACTGGAAACCCATCAGTCAATCAGACCCTTTGATTGATGGGAACAATCGCAGAGGGAGAATAACTTTAAGTAGGAACTGAGAAACACTGAGTGTAATGGTGAATACAGGTCTGAAGCAGAACCGCCCTGAGAAATGATTAAAGATCTTCAGTCATGGCTGAGAACTTGAGTGTGTTGGAAACCACCGAGGGTCTCAGAGGGAGTATCGCAGCCCGATGACCAGATCTCTTTCCAGATCTCTTTCCAGACTCTCTGACTGTGGCTAGCTACTTAGAACATTTATTACTAAGTAAATAGGTTTTGGCAGCTTCAAGTTTTTTTCAACAGTCTGAATGATTTCATCAGAGTGCAGTGACTTCCTGCAGACTCTGCTGCTACCCTGGCAACCTCACCGTGACAACAAGGCTTCAGCCAATGCTCCCAAGAAAGTAGTTCCAGCAAATACCATGACGCTTTCACATTTCTGTTGTGAACAGATTGTGATCAGATTACACAGATTAGGTACACCATGTTTATCATTGGGATTCACAGGTTTCCCATGCTTGCAGTCTTTATGCTAAACAAAACATTTTTTTCTTCTTTTTTATTGTATTTTTTATTGAGTCAGGCACAATGAGTTTAGATTTATACAGTCAATATATATATTTTTTTTTTTCTCCCCCTCCCGGTCCTAGCTAGTAAATTAAATAACTAAATAAATAGATACATGTATATGTAAAAGTAAAGTAATGAAGAAGATAATATTAAAAGAAAATGAATAGATAAGGAAATAAAGAATAATAACAGTAATACATGTACCCATATACTCACATATGTATACCCACATATACACATACATGTGTGTACATACCCACACACATGCACATACATACATGTACATACATAAAAGTCAGAAAAAAAAAAAAAAAGAAGAAATCCATACATTTCTAACTATTCCTTAAAAAACAAACATTTTAGCTTGACATTTAACATTTGTGAGGCTATTAGCCTGATTAAAATTGATGCGGTATGTGTAAACACCAAAGATTTTGTGTGGTTTTCAGATAAAAGATTAATGAATTTAAAGTGGCAACAACTGAATAATAGCCGAAAATGTTCACTGTAGCCTGGAACTGTTCTAATCTCAAATATCTTTATAGACATTTGTAACTGGTGTCAATAGAGCTTCAATAAAACATTTGAAATGTGATGAACACCACTGGAATAAACCTCTGTTTGTTAGATTATAAATAAGGGTTGTGACAAAAATGTTGAACTTTTCTTTCAACTTCACTTTGAAAGTTGTGCATGTTTATTATATCACGCTTGTCTGGCTCTATTTAAGGACTGACTGAATGTTTTCTTCATATTCAACTCTCTCTGGAAAATTGTGATGTAAGTAACCCTAACCTGATGAGCATTACATATAATGCAAGATGAGATCAACGGCTGTAACAGTAAAAAGTCTGCAACCAAAAAGTACTCAAATGATCTGAAATGTAATGTGTCATTGTCAACAAATACCGACATGAGTCATGAACCGTTAGCATCTCTTTGAGACAAACCTCACTCCAATAGAAATCTACCAGCAGCAATATCAGCTGAGCAGAGAAACTGCTCTGGTCCGCTATTCACTCCATCAGCAAAGGGATTGATGGGTCAACAAACACAGGACTTTCACCCAGGAGACCCCAGTCTGTGTCCCATGTGAACCCAAGACTCAATGTTGAACTGATTTTAATTATGAACTTAAGTAAAGTAACCCTAACACTAAAACCGACTTTCCCAAATCTTGATATTTTTGTAAACTGACCATGTGTTGCTTGAACCTAAAGGGTCCTGACAAAACGTCGGTATTTTGGGAAGAAATACTTGTGTATCTAAACAAATAATTCAGTTGATTGTTGTTTCGTGGTCAATCCTGTGCTTGAGCTGTTTTCTGCTTATGCCTTTCGGATTTGTTTATCTTTTAAAGAAGTTATAGCCGTGAAAAATGTTGCAACTGGAACCCTTATCAGATTCAAGTTAATGTATAGTCCAAACACTGGTGGGATCCTAAAGACCTCACAGAAGGAATGCCTTCCATTTCTAGTTTCCTTCAGCTAACAGTTGGAAACCCAGCAGATGTGCAGACGGTCTTAATAATACTGAATCAGATATCCTGTGTCACAGTTTAGGAATTAAACAATGGTCTGAGTAAAAGTCTGGAAAAGATAGATGTGAGAAGGTCAATTACTCACAAGCCCTCTTTTTCTTGACCAAACCACTGCACTTTAATCTCAGTGTTAAAATGTCTTCTATTACTTACAGGACTATAGATTTGCTAATAATGGTTGGGGATTTTTCCTCCAAATTCTCTACATGGATAAAATCTAAAATGGTTCTGGTGGTAACACAGCATCTGGCTCATTTTCCCCCTCTACAGTGTTGTTTTTATTTTATTTTTTTGTTGAGAACTGTTTGCTGTAACTGAGCAATTGGAGAGCTGGGTCATGTCCAAATCCCTGTAAAACACACGATGGTGCACTTATGATACTTAAAATATTTATTTGTCAAGAGCCAGACAAAATCCATCCTGTTTCATGTAGCCCGTTCAGTTCATCCTCTTATCGGCTGCATCCCTGTTCAAGAACACATTTGTCTCACTGCTGCACAGAGCTGATGCAGGCTTGCTGGCCTCAGAGGAAACTGGAGATATCTTACATGATTTTATGTAAAGTGTCCAGAGCATTCGGAAAAGCGCTATACAAATCCCATTTATTATTATTATTATAACAGCATCTACAGGTCTTTTACACAAGTTAGTTAATTTCAGAAACTGCTGAACATTCCACACAAATTCAGGTACAGATCCCAAGGAAATATCACAGTTCTTTAAAATGTAAAAAATGCTAACGCTGTGACATTCTCACAAAAGTTTCCTGTATGGAAGTATAATATAATAAAACAATATAATAAGACAGTGTTTTCTACAGCGTTACAGTTTGTATCTGCTTTAGTGTCTATTATTCTGATAGTTTGTCATTTTTGCAACAATGTGCATTACATTTGGCAAATGCAAAAAATCTGTCAAAAACTGTTGTATCCTGAGGCATGTCGTTTATATTCCGAAGCATCATCTGGTAAAAACATTAAGCAGATGCAACATAGACTCTTTGGCTAAAGTAACTGCCATAGAAAACTTTTCTTTTTTTCTAGCCAATAGTAAGTAACAGTTCATCTAAAAACGCTGATGTTGGTTTTTGAATCCATTTCAAAGAGTTCCAAGAAGTTGGATAGAACTAGAACAAATCCGGAGGAGTGAGGCAGTCTGTAGAAATTATGACCTCAACTGTTACGGCATTATTTATCCAAACTCAGGGGATATAAATGTCTGGATAATCCATTGTCTTCAGCATGGAATGGATAAGGTAATGAGCCTATCCCCAGGTTTTCCCTTATTTGGTAATGTGACTTCAGGGGCCCTCCTGACATGGCTTCATATGTGCACACTGAGGTCAATGACAGCCAGGAGGATTTTCTTTTCTTCTAATGTTCCCAATACTCTCAGTGCTTGTTAATCTAATTCAATCGTTAATGTACCATAAGAAGGTCCAGGGACCTGCAGTGTTCCAAGAAGAGACTCAGATCAGAAACATATAACAAAGCCATGACAAATGTAATCTTAAAAAGTCAGCATATAAAGTAATTATAGAAAATAACCCATATGCCAGCACTCCCCAATACCCGGATCTGTGTCTGCAGCAGACACACGGGCCAGGTCACACATGACAACAAACCCTGCTGTCTGCTGATAAGACCGAACCTTATCAGGCTGAATGTCTCTAATCATTTCAGGATCCTGTTTCGGGGCCCTTCATGTGCAAAGTTTTCGAAACTGCTGCCATTGCGCACGACAAACAAACCTACAATTTAGTCAACTTTGCATCTATAAGGATGCACACCGAACTGCCTTTTACTCCAGCAGAAAGCAGGATCTCCTTTACAGCCCATGCAATCTAAAACAGCATCATTTCACAGTTACTCACAGTTTGGAGGCTGAGGTCCTCCGACGCGCTGCCGCTCGGTGCGTCCAGGGCGCAGCGTGCCGACCGCAGGGCTCCCCAAGGCGGACGCCCGGGAACCGGAGAGTCCCCGAGGCAGAGAGCGCTGAGCACCCGGCATTCCTGCCTTTGTTTGAGCAGCTCCAGCTCACACAAACCGGCCAGACTGGCCTCCAGCCTCTCCTTATTCCGACTGCGCTCTGCTTTCATGGGCAGAGAGTATCCTGGGAACAGGACTCCAAAAGAGCCCGGTAGCTTCTGTGAAGACATCTTCCCCTCCAGTTTTACTCTTACTTTTTCCCAACAAAGGGAGGCTGAATAGACCCTCTGGAGTCCTTCACTCTTCTAGCTCTCCGGATCCCGCAGTTGAGCTGCAGCGCTGGGCGTTCAGCGGCTAGACTCACCGCTGGAGACTCGGACCCGTTCTCCTCCTCAAATCTGAGCTACGCTGAAGCACAGTGAAGTTAGTTTGAAGTTGGATATCCGACAGACAGTTACGCTGCACCCAGCAGCGACAGTTCCCCCTCAGTTACATGGGCGCTTCTAGGGGGGGGGGGCACTGTGCTTGGACCCCCCCTGTGGCCCCCCTTTTTTCAGTAGTGTAATTAAATCAATTGAAAATAAGTTACTGAAACAAATTCTGTTACCAAAACAAATACCAACAACAAATATTAAAGGTGGGGTAGGTAATTTTGGAGAAACCAGCCCGAGTGCACTAGAATTTGAAAATACACAGCCGGAAAAAATCTGCCACTTCCTTACAGAGCCCTGACCACATGACCAATGAGGGCACGAGATAAATTTTTGCACAGATGGAAGGCTGACAGGCAGGTAGGCCATCCAGTTACTTTAGCCGGGCCGGCTGAAAGGATTGGTCGTGCTTTTTACATTACCACGGCTTCCACAGATGACATTTTTTTGTGGATTTTTTGTCAAAGCACTTAAGATATTCATTGCTATCGGGATGTTAAGAACATTCCATGGAATATAAAAAAAAGTGTATCTCGAGCCGGTTTCTCAAACTTACCCACCCCACCTTTAAGAAATAAAACAATGTTTGGCTGCATAAATTATGTATTTATTACCCCAAACTGCATTAAGGTTAATGGCAAAGTAAGTAACTAAACTAAAATTGTGACTAAATAATTGACACAAACTCTGTTATTAAAAAACAATAATGGTATTTTATTATCTTTTTGTGCGAAATGACTTTATGCAATACTAAACATTTTGAAATGTTGAACACTGTCTTTGTCTCTCTTGTCCCACATGAAATGTGCCCCTCTCATAACATATTATTAAAAGTACACAAAAATTGGCTCACAAGTTATTGGAAACATATACAAAATGTATAGACATTTTTAATTAAAATATTTGTATAAAACTGGGCAAGCAGTAACAATCATTATGAAGAGTTGTGGCATGTGTGGTCCATCCATGAATGCAATATTTCTAAACACCCATTGTTTGCCGATAAAATATTTATCTTTTATACAATGAATTACCCCTTTTTGATTAAAAAAAGTGGGATATATAATACCAATTAAACTTATTAGGATTTGAGCATAAAGTATTAAAAAAATAAAACACTGGTTCTGTGCCATTTAAACAGTAATACAGTTGGTCACATACATCCCACTGTCAATCTGACTTCACCTCTGTCTCTGTTGTGCAGGCTCACTCGGACAGCTGTTGGTGGAGTCTGAAGGCATGACACACACACACACACACACACACACACACACACACACACACACACACACACACACACACACACACTATCTGCTGAGGGCACTCCATGCTCCGATTGCAAATGGAAAGCACAATGAAATACAAATCTGAAATATAAAAGGAAATAACAACATAACCTCCTCCCAATCATTTGATAATGTATGGGCACACACAGTGGTGTGTTTGTCGGAGTTATTACTGAGATTATAGCAATTGTCACTACAATACATATTTAAGTATCAAATATCTAGTTTGGGATAAGATGTTGTCAATATTAGTCAGTGCCTCTCTCGTGCAGCACTGATGGATAACTGCGTTTACAGAATATAGTGTAGAAATTATGTTTATACACTTTGTACTTTCAATAAATATACATAACCCCTTTTCCTGTGGCAGATGATTCCTTTACAACAGTGACCAGCATCGTCATCTTTTCCTAAGCTTTGGAAAGACATTCTGTACAGAAGAATATTTAGAGCTAAGCATGCCACCTATAGGTTATGAGTGTGAACAGCTCAAATATGTTATATTTAATGGGACATCTGTACACTATTAATAATCAATTCAACATGTTCAATTTCAGAACCTTGTCAAAGGTAAGTTCTCTAGTATTGAAAGCTAAATCTGACATCACCGAATGAAAAAAAATCACACTTGATCCATGAATTGTTTTGCACTTTTATTCATTCCTCTGTCTTGAATCACTTTTTTTCCCTTAAAATAACTTTTTTGTTATCCTCAAACCACTGCCAGCGTAGTTTGAGTCCTTATAATATGTACTATAACTCTACACAACAATATGCATTATTATATCTGTATAAATACTTTTTGTTCATATATGCAGATCAAAATAGGTTTCAGACGACAGGTCAGATATTGTAAGCACACACAGGAGAACACAACGCTTTACAACCAAGTGAGATGACTGAAGGCAGGATGAAGAGATACTGCAGCTGTGCGTGTCTGTGCGTGCCTGTGCGTGCGTGTGCGTGCGTGCGTGTGTGTGCGTGTGTGTGCGTGTGTGTGTGTGTGTGTGTGTGTGTGTGTGTGGAGTGCTGAAAGTTGAGGGTGCATTCTGTGATGTCATGGAAACTCGACTCTAAAGGTTCAGTGTGTAGGTTTTAGTGACATCTAGTGGTCAGTTTGCAGAGTGCAACCAACTAGATCCACATACAGCAAGCAGAAACATTACAGAGCATAGAAAACACATGATTAAACTCTTAAAAAAACATGATCATGAATACTTTAATATATGGCTGCCAAGAGATCCCCCTAATGCTGCACTGCTCCTTTAAGAAATATACCCAATCAAACCATCTTCGTTTATAAGTTCCATTTTGATGTCAGCTGGTTCATTTTCATTGATGTTGTTGATTGCACAAACAGACTTGTCGCATATAACATATGGGCCTCACTGTGACTGATGCTTGGTGATTAAACCTCAGGGTGTCTACTCTTCAGGCTCATCTCCAGTGTTTACATGTGCTAAACTGAAACCTCTAGTGTTGATGCATGGAGTTCAACATGATCTTAATCGCTAGCCTTAATAGAATAGCCATGCATTGTATACAGGAGAGGAGCCACGTGACTTTGTGATATTTTACAAGATATTCCATTAACAAGTCATGATTTCAAGTGAAATGACATCATCTCAACATATGCATTTGAACTGTTTTAAACATGGCTTTGGAGTAAATAAGGTTATCAAATTGCACCTCCTAATTTAACAGTCTTACATTTGCAGTGTCAAACGATATGGAGAGAAAATAGGGAATTCATCATTTATGTGTGGTTCATAAGATTCAAAAATGAAAATAAAAGTTTGCACTTGTATCTGAATATTTGCCCAAAACGAATTCACACCGTAACTGTACTCTATTTGTAGTTTACCTGTTCGATCTGTTAACAACGATCGTCTTTTATGCAGCTGATGGTCCTGATTTATGTTTTGTTTTATCTTGTAGAAACAAACCCACATACTGTAGATGTACAGATATATTTGTACTACAGTATATTTTGTGGAAGGGCTTGAAGAATCTTTATCCAGCAAAAACTTCCCTATAGTTATTAATGTCAAGGCTGCTGCAAAGATTATTGTGTTAGTGCATAGAATGGTAGAATATTAAAGAAGTTTTGAGGTGCACCTATTTCCCTTTTTTCATTTCACCAAACCCCAATGATATAAAAATACATTTAAATAATACGTTCGCTATTTTCTCTCCATCGATCACTCAATAATGCACAAAGCAAACTGCATCTGAACGAGCTTTCCTTGTATATCAACCTTCAAATTTGATATTTTAAACCAAACGTAAATGTTGCTTTCCATTATATTTGTCATACATTTGAAGAGTTTAGTGTTCATCCTTGAGTCATAAAACACTTTCACAGGTTGGACCAGTATTATAAAAATGAAGGCATGGAAGCCTTGCAAGACATCACACACTGTTCCCAGACAGCACGGTCAAGGGTGTGATTAATCAATAAATTCATGAATATATCATCAGACAAATTGTTATAGCTGCAGTGACTAATTACATTTCTGAAACGAGTCTTCCAACTGGGACATGAACACATTTTCTCAAAATAATATGAACACTGACAGGATAAACAGCGTCCTGTTGAGTTAGACTAACATTCCTCAGAGGCAGAGACCACTGGGAGGTCAACAATTAGAGCCAAAACCAAAGTCAAGGAGAGAGAATATAGCTTATATCTAAGTACCGGTATCCTTGATATAAAAAAAAACGTAGTGGTTCAAACTGAACAACTACATTTGGGCCTGTTGCTGGATTCATTGAGATCGTTTCTGTTATAGATCATCTCTGCCACTGAGAAATGTTTGTCAATCAAAACACCAAGCATACATGACAACTGAAGCAAATAAAGAACAGTGCAGAAGGATGGAACACATTTCATTTCACTGCATCTCACATTCAGTCTGCTTCATGACTGAGACCCACAGTGCAAATACATGACACTTTGAATTGCCTTGTGTTGAAAGGTGTAATATAAATAAACTTGCCTTGCTTTACAATCACATATGAATTGATGCAACACCCAGACATGGCTTATACAACGGTGACTATCCTTAATAGGATAACATGTTGACGTGTGAGCCTTGGCAGTGATGAAGCAGTGAGATTTGTCGGAGTAAATCATTGAAACACTGGAATGACATTAATGGTTGGCTGTGAACAAGACATTTCTTTGTTTCCTTGGCAACGCATTAGGAAAGTAGGAGCTGTGCCACGCTGACCTCAGAGTCCCTGCTTTCTTCCCATGAATTCTCTCTGCTTGCAACCCTCTGCATTACCACGTCACTCAGCTAGCAGAGGGATGCTCCAGCGACAGCTCGGAATACTGCATGCCATAAAAGTCACATAAACATACAAAATAAAATAAAATCACAAAGTATGGCATGAGCTCTCAGGGAACCAGCCCTGATCTGCCCAGCATGCCCAGTAAAAATATCCCTGACTACAAACAATCTGACACACACACACGCACGCACGCACGCACGCACGAAAGCACGCACGCACGCACGCACACACACACACACAAACAAACACACACAAATGTATGAGGTTACATTTTGATTCCGTGTACACTGAGGAAACTGAAACGTTGAATTAAATGTATGTCAACAGATCACACATAACTTTATTAGGTTAGATGAAAGATATTAATATTAAGTTGAACCTAATATTTGTTATTTAAACTTAATATTAGTGCTTTCAACTAACCTAATACAGTTATGTGAAATCTGTTGATATAATACATTTAATTCAAGGATCAGGTTTCCAGTGTAGCTTTGATACTGCAGGCTGTGGATTAGTTAAAGTCTCTCATCATGTTTCTCAAGGTATAAAACAAAGAGACACAGCAGCTGTTTGAGATCCTTGAAGGGTAGGAAAATGTCTATGTGTTTTTGCACCTCTGAAAGCGAATGCATATATAATTCCAATATGGATTCTCAATTGGCAAAGCACCGGAAGTGAGAAGAAGTTGCATGCTTTGGGTCAGTCTGATCTTTGTCTGGATGTGAACAAAAAACAAAACGTTTTAATGCAGCATTGTGTGGAGAGAAGGAACGTGGATGATCAAGATGGAAGGAAAGCTGCAGACAAATCCTGCCAAAGATGTTGTCTCTCTTCAGGAGACAGAGCAGTGTGTAATCCCATCTCATCTCCCGCAGGTCTGATGAGGTCACTTGAGTGGGGGGTGCAGCTCGGACTGAACACCCAGCAGGGCCTTTTGAAGGCCACCTTCCCTCCATGGGCTCAGAAAGGTAGGATGAATATTGCACATCATGTCCGCATGCCTTGACGTTATCGATCAGTTATTCTGGGTTCTCCTTTTTTCAGACTCAGGGTGTGGCGGGTGGTCCTTGAGGCCAATGCTTTTATGGAGATGAAGAAGGGAGTCTTTTATCTGGATGAAAAGGCAGGAGAAAATGAGTCAGAAAATCTTAATATAAAAAAATTGAAGAACTGAGACATTACATACTTAGCCTATACATTTAAATAAAAAAGCGGATGTTTAATTAAGGTCCACGTTTCCGTTTTTTCAGTGTACAATCCACACGAGAATGGACACATTTGGAAATATAGGAAGTGACAACAGCAACTAAACATTTTGATATAATAGGTATGTCACATCCTGCAAAAAATTACATCTGTTGCTGGTTTAATTGTACCAGCAGTGTATCTGTTCTGTAGGACGCGCCTGAGACAGATAACTGAAGCAGCTTAACCTCATATGTTGTAAATAAAGGTCTGGAGCTACAGTAGTCTCCAGTAAAATGTCTCTGTCTCTAAACATTGTTTCTGGAGTAAAGAGCTTTGATGGAGGGAGAGAAAGAGAGATCACTTCCTTCTGATCTTCTGTTTATGGCTGATGGAAACAGAGCTCTGCTTCAGTCTTCCACTCCATAAATGAACAGCTGCCTGGTGAGCGACTCAGCCTCTGTTCATCAAAATACTACACTGCTGTACACTTATTTTATTTATAATGTTTAGCATTTAGAGGATATCTTAAGTGAAGTTATTTGTACTCAAACCAAAACATAACTTTTCTACAAAAAACATTCTAGGCATAGTTTTGAATTTTAGAATTGTGGTTGTATATGTTTTGTACTATTTTGGGCACACTCGTAGTCAGGGAATACAGACAGGGGTATGGGCAGGGGGGCAAAACATTGCAATGCTGTGTATGGAGGCATGAGCAAACATATTTTACATCCCAAAATAAAGGCCAACTATTTACACAATAGTCATTCTGCTGGTCTGTTGTTTGTGTCCTTGTGTGGTTTTGGTTTTTAGAGGGTGAGAAACTGACGTGTTCTGCAAGGTAACATTGTTATTGTTGTCAAAGGAGTCTGGTAGCTTTGGTGAGTGCATAAATGGATGAACACTGGCTGTGAAAATATTTTAAATAAATCATACAATTAGACCTATATAGATTTATTTTGGGTGGGACATTTGTAAGGCGGTTCAAATGTGTACACTTCAGTACATTGCACAGCTCAATCTCTGTGTTTCCAAACTGTGGACATGCTGACTGCAGGGAATGTACGTACCTCATAAAACCCCACTTCAAAATCTCTGAACAACCTAGCAATAGATAATGGTTTTGTTGTTGTATTATCCTGGGGACGTTTTCTTTTTTTTATGGTGCGGTATTTTAGTTTGACCTGCTCTCTCACCTTATCGAGCTGCACCACTGAGGATCTGATTATCTCCTTCCACTTCTGGAGATCCTCTTCATCGTCGCGCTGCTGGGAGTCCGTGAGCTGCATCCATTCCAGCTGGGTGTCCGGAGCTTCGCTGGTGAGACACAGGTAGAAAATGAGACACAAAGAAATCTGGACTTTACTTTAACAAAAGAAAGAAGAAATGACCGTCTGAGGAGAAGCCAGAAAGGGCCAGATTGAGGATTTTGAAAACCTGTTTTTCAGGCTCAGATCGTAAAATCATGTGATATCTCTTAAAATCGAAATGAGGCTGAAGCAAAACATTTGGAGATTCGGCATGTTATCACTTATTAGCTGCGCTCTTACTGGTATTTAAAATCCTTCTCTTCACAAACAAGGCCCTTATGTTAAGGGTCTGGCACCATCTTATCTCAAAGAGCTAATAATACCCTATTGCTAGAGCACTGTGATCACAGAATGCATTGTTCCTTGTTGTTCATAGAGTCTCCAAAAGTACAATGGCCAGAGCATTCAGCTATCAAGCTCCTGTTCCGTGGAACCAGCTCCAAGTGTGTGTACAGCATTTACTGTATGAGCCGGCTGAAGACTCTCCTCTTTGATAAAGCTTAAAGTTAGGGCTAGCTCGGGATTTCCTTGAACCAGTCATTCTGGTATAGTGTAAACTGCTGGGTGACTTGCAATGGGCTTCTCTCTCAAATAAATAAATTAGTTTTCATAATGGGATTTATACATGAGATTTGATGCTGGTGTGTATGTATGTACCTTTGCATTCCAAGGATCTGAAGCAACAGAATAATGCACACACATGCATAACCAGAAAAAGTGATTCCTTTCCCTATGTCCATGTTTACCTTTCATCAGGTCTCAGTGCCTGCGATGCAGCGAGTCTCTGAGTGGTGTACTCCAGCATCCACAGCTTGTAGAACAGCATGACGTTGAGAACCACCAGCAGTACCAGGCTACACAGAGAGAAGGAGAGAAAACACAGACTGTAAAACAGAGCCTCATCTTCCACATCACATGCCATTTACTGAAAGGAATCAGGGCCATGGCAGGAATAGAAATACCTTATAGAGATCCTATGGGATGCAATTAAAGACAAGAACAGAGAGAACAGGGGGATTACAAAAGATTGAAACAAAACAAAAATAAAGAAGAAAGACAGAGAACATCCTCAAATATTCCTGGTAGATTATTACAATTACCATGAGATGTGATAGAATGCAAATATCAACCCTGATTGGCTTTGTCTTAGTGGAAGTAACATTCTGCCAAATGACAGACAATTCATTGACATACATTCAGATAATCAACCACTCATTCAAGCATTTAATCAAGCAAAAATGACTTTCTGCTTTTGTATGCTTTTTTGCAAAAAGCAATTGGAAGGGCATTTAGTGCAAACAGGGGACAGAAAAATGATTGCAGTCTTAATCGTAAAAGCATTTATTGATCAGTAAATGGAAAACATTTATTTTGGAGATGATTGCAGTTGGAGTTTTCTGTCGGTCATATGTTATGAAACATTTGTCTGTCACCAAACAGGGAGAATAAATGCTGTAACTCACACAAGGCCGATGAGAAGCAGGAGTTTGGAGAAGTTGTAGAGTGCAAAACCACCTGGAGAGTCAGGTATGTGTCTGGTCTGTGTGGAACCTACCGGAGAATACAAAAAAACCCAGAAATAAATAAATTGAGACAGAATCTCAAACATCTTTAAAGGTTGTTATGTGTTGACTTTTTTCTCTGAAATGCACAAGGAGGCCACATTTCTTATCTTGTCATGTCAGTTCTACAGTACTTCACTGACCACAGATCAGCTGGTGGCCTCTGAAGGGCTGGCCTGCCACGTGTTTGGTGAGGTGGATGTCTTCGTCCTCCTCATTCTCAGGAGTGCTGACGGGGCTCAAAGCCTTGTCCATGTTCCCCGGAGTTCTGAGGTGATGGACTAGTATCCGTTTCCTCCGGCGGCTGGTACACATCCTCAGAGCCTTGGTTTTAGGTGACTGTCTGTGAGGCTCCATCAACATCACATCCAGCTTACTCAGCGCCAACTCTAGAAGAAATACACCAGAGAGAATGAGAGGTTAAGGTTTCAGTGAGAGTCGGTATTTGGTTCAGTTTTTTGATTCCATCTTCATTTAGTAAACAATTTGACAATTTCTTCTGGCAAAATAAGCTGCCATTTGACTTGAGTCACATGACTTAAACTCAATCAGATGAATCATTATGACTTTTGCCAACTTTACACAATCATAAAAATCGACATGCAAAAACATTTTCCTCCTCCCTCCCCCATACTCTGTAGCTCTCTCATTCAAACATCAAACTAGCTAGCTAAATATCTACTTTCTATTTATTTATTTCATCGTGTATTTGGCAGGGACAATGCACAGTAATGAACATTAAAAATGTGTCAAGCGTAACAGTGCCAGATTTAGCTTTGAGCTAACTTCCATCCGCAGTCCCTCACATAAAACATTTAAGAAAATTACATTTTACAAACATAGCAAAAACAAAATACATGATATGCAAAAAGTGCAAAAGAGCAAGAGCAGCATACACAGGTATTTACCAAATGGTAATACAATATAGCAGCAACGACATAAAAAGTGCAAGAGAAGATACAAGAGCTACATGAAGTGCAAGAGGAGATACAAGAGATGCATAAAGTGCAAGAGGAGATACCCCTGTATTAAAGTGCATTTAGCGGTGATTGTACGTCTGGTTGTTTCTCAACCATTCTTTGAGTTGACCTTTGAAGTTATTTAGAGTGGGACAATCCCGTATCTCAGTTGGGAGGCTATTCCAGAGTGAGCTGCCTTTAATGGAGAGGACATTTTGTCCAAAAGTGGTCCGTCTACAGTGGACCTCACAGTCTCCTCTGGTTTCTGACCTAGTGCAGCGTCCAGTGTCTTTTTTGTGGATGAATTCCACTAAGGACAGGGGGGCAGTCCATGTAAACATTTATAAATAAAGCACATACTTTTAAAAGACTTAAAATTGTCAAAACTTAATAAATAGTGTTTTNGATGAATTCCACTAAGGACAGGGGGGCAGTCCATGTAAACATTTATAAATAAAGCACATACTTTTAAAAGACTTAAAATTGTCAAAACTTAAGAAATGTTGTTTTTCAAGGATGGTACAGTGGTGGTATTAATAAGGCTTTCTGCCAAACACCTTGATAGCTCTCTTGTACAGCTGTTCTATCGGTTTATAACAAACATTTCCTTAAAATACGCTTAAAGAAAAAAGCCAAATTGACCAAAATTTGGCTTACTATATACAGTAAGCAACAGTGTTAACCACAAACACAATACAAAGGGATAAGACGAAGGTTCAAAAAGACCAGAGATATTTGTAACATCTTGTTTGTGTTGTGCTAACCTAAGTGTCTGAAGTACTCATTCAGGCCACTCCAGAAGTTCCTCTCAATGAAGCCCTTGACAAGCCCCCATGGGTGCTTCCTGTACCGAAGCTCTGTTGACACCCTGCAGGATACACACAGATATATTTATTATAGCATTTCTGCGTGTTCTAAAATATTCACCTGAAATGGATCACAGTGAAAGTGCTTTCGTTTTGTTGTAATGCATTAACTCAGCACTTGGCCCTTGAGGGAAGCACACTTCTCTTTGTCGTGGAACACATATGAGAGTAAATATTTTCAGTACCTAAGACGACACCTGTTCTTGGCTACTCTGGTGAGCATGTAGCGGTTGAGGGTGTAGAAGTAGTCGTGGTAGGGAACATCGTGGGCGATCACCTCTGCATCGATGATGTAGCACTCGTTCTCCTGGCTGGCCTTGTACAGAGTCTGAACTCACACAGCACACATTTTCACAATGAATAAACCATTCAAGTGAGACCTTCAGGGACTATAGGCTGCTCCTCAGTCCTCACCTGTGTCTCAGTGACCGTGGCTGTCTTTGGAGCCAGGGGATTGTTCAGGGCGATGGTGTACATGATCTCTTTTGACTGGTTACCGTCCTCCTCTGTCCTCCACGTGTGATACACCACATCTGCAGGAGAACATCTGAAAATTAAACTTCAAGGGACCCTGAGAAGTCTTTGAGCATAGCTACATATCTAATGTTGTTTTGTTTGTATGATAAAAACAGGCACATTTCACTTCACACACTTTGGCTGATGAACATTCAGGTGTAGAATTACACAGAAAAACTGTTTAAAATCAGCTTAAAAAATATAGAAGGTCACAATTTCTCAATCACGGTTCACATCACTACTGAGCACAATATGCCATTTCATATTTAGAAAAACTGAGGGCTTATAGTCATTTAAAGAGATTTAAGTTCACCCGTAACAATGCATTCTTTCATTTTTCACTTTCACTTTTACGGTACTTATTTTGATGCAGACCATTTATTGAAATTGGTAATTATTTTATATCAAATCAAATCAAACCAGCAATCTGGGGTATTTCTTAAAACATCTTTGTTTCAATATGTTATCTTTTTGCTGCATCTATTGTCTACGATAGAAACACAACCATCAACATCACAGTAAGGGAAGCGGAGATGGCCCTGTTCAGAGCCAACAAAGAAACACAGCAGAAATACAGCATTGAACGATTGGAACTGAAAGCTGGCATCAATAAGGGAAAGGGGTAGCATTAGTAAAGACTGAGGAGCTATCACTTAAGATTTGTTGGAAAATATCCAGAATATCACTGGCTAAAATGCAGAGGCATCGAATCTGTTTATTTCAGCTCAGTTTTAGCAAAACAACCGTAATACAATCTCCCCCATTGGCATTCTCAGCACTAGTACTACTAAATTCTGCAACTGGATATTGGTTTCCTCACAAACAAACCCCAGTCAGTCTGAATTGGTAATCTTCTTCTCTTGTTCTCACCAGAGCACTGAAGGGCTGTATGTTCAGCCCCGCACAGCACACCCACACCCACAACTCTACCCCGACATGGAGATCATTCTGTAGATTGTGGATTTCCTTAACATTACTCGCCAGTTTACAAGGAAACTAAAGAAAAAAATCCCATGCCAAGTTCTCGTCTTTACTTTCACAGAGTGGCAATAAAAAGCATTCTGACTGGAAACATTACAAACATAGGATGTGCACGGCCCAGGACACGAGAGCTCCTGGTAGACAGGGTTGGGACCAATCTGCACGGCATCAGTGATAATAGTTTTTTTTTAGTGCCTATCTCAAATCCCAAGAGAGATATTTAAAGAACCAACCCCAGCAACAACCTTTCACCCCACTTCCTTCTGCTAAACAATGTAGAAGTTTCTGCAGTCGAACCATCAGACTAGAGAGCAGCTTCATTTCAGAATCAGACTACCCCAGAAGTAATCCTCAGTACTCATTACACAAAGTTTGGTTTTGTGATTTCGTATTTCGTAAAGGGATCACTACTTGCATTGCATTGTGCATCCCTGTGTTTTAGATAGACATTAAATGCATCTTGAATCTTAATGTATACAATCCTGTTAATGTTCTGTAAAAATCTGTGATATATCCATGTCTTCAACTGCTAACTGTTATGAAGAACTGAGGCCCTTCCTTTTGTTTAGGTTGTTGACCTTTTTGTAACTTCAGATTCTGTCTTGATGTAATAGCGTGACACTGGTGGAGATGCCCCTGACTTTACCTGAGAACCTCCTCTGCTCCCGAAAGTCCCTCATGAAGTCAGACTCAGTGAAGAGTAAGTCATACATCTTGTCCACACCAAACTTGTACACTTCGTTGATGAACTGCCGGCCACCCAGGTCCTCGTGGAAAGCCTGGACCTCACCTGCATAAACAATATTTCTGTGTGAGACTACGGTTAAAACGAATCAGATAAACATATGAGAAATCGACTTTGATAGAGAAAAAACCCCTGGGAATGAACTGTCTGAAGTTAATTGTTGATTTCTTTTTACGAGGCAGGGTGAAATGACTCACCTTCATCATGCGTGTCGGATGAGTCGCTTAATTCGGTGGGCAGGTCCTCGTTCTCGTTGAGGTCCAACGGCTGCAAAGGGGCGGTGTTTTCGAGGTTCTCGGGCAGGAGAAGGGTCAGGAAGTCTGCGTCAGGTAAGGGGCTGGACACGTCCTCCACAGGGGCCGGGTCACACTGCTGGACCAGGGGAAGAGAATATGATCAACCAGTGATACTGAAGAGTAAAAGTACATCACACTTATTTATAAAGCTTCAGTATTCCAGTCCATGAAGTTGGGGAACTCAAAAGAGATAGATCAACATTTAAAAAAGGGTAACAATTCTCAAACTCCGATAGAGCAGACCCACATAATAAATGATAAAATAGAATTCATTGGCTGAGCAACTGTCATGATGATACTGATCTTTATGAGTAAACTGTAATCTACGCTTTCCTTTGAAGCACTTCCTTAAGATGTACTGTATGTGAACTAACAACATGATACATCCACATTGTTGAAATGTAATAGTATAACAAATGTTTTATGCAAACCCTTCATGTGTCGTAATGCAGTATTATCATTTCTGTTAAAACAGTACAGCAGTGGAACATGTGCTTTGCATTCATCATTGTGCCGATAATGAGGACACATTGAGAACTTATGTAATGTGTGATGATGGTNGTAGTGCCTTGGCAGTCTCAGTGGACACGTACCTCCACAGGGCCGGGTCACACTGC